CAATTTTAACCACAAGCGTGTCGTAAAATGCTAAGTCAGTGTCGTCTTATGTAAAGTGAGCTGCATCTGCTGTGTTGTAGTTTTAATCATGATTTTTAAATATTGATAAAAATACGGCATGGATAGGGAAATAGCATTGAATAAAGCAATACGGTTTTATGAAACAGGAACACCAGATGTTTTGCAATATGAAGACATCGATGTTGGTGAACCAGCAGCAGGGCAAGTGCGTCTGCGTCATGTGGCAGTTGGATTAAATTATGCTGACACTTATTTTCGTGACGGCACATATAAAATTCCACTGCCAAACGGGATGGGCGTAGAAGCATCTGGTGTAGTCGAAGCCGTGGGTGAGGGTGTAGATCACATTCAAGTGGGTGATCGAGTCACTTATACCGGCTTTTTAAATACTTTAGGTGCTTATAGCACTGCACGTTTAATCTCATCTGATGTATTAATCAAACTACCTGAAGAAATTTCTTGTGAAACAGCCGCAGCAATGACCATGCGGGGATTAACCTCGGCTTATTTAATGCGTCGTATTTATGACTTTAAAAAAGGGGACACCATTTTATTACATGCCGCCGCAGGTGGTGTGGGCTTGATTGTTTCTCAATGGGCAAAGTTACTCGGTTTAACTGTGATTGGTACAACCTCTTCAGAAGAAAAAGCGCAAATTGCCCGTGCACATGGCTGTGACCACGTTATTAATTATAGCTATGAAAATGTTGCAGAACGAGTACGAGAATTAACCGATGGAGTCGGTGTGAATGTGGTCTTTGATAGTGTCGGTAAAGACACGTTTATGGCATCGCTTGATTCATTAAAACGCCGTGGCTTATTGGTTTGTGTGGGGACTGCTTCTGGTGCAATTCCAGAATTTAACCCCGTCTTGTTGGCAATGAAAGGCTCTCTCTATATGACCCGCCCAGCACTGGCAGATTTCATTGCTGATCCTATAGAAAAACAAGAACTTGCCAATGAATTATTTGATCATGTCCGACATGGGCGCATCAAAATTGAAATCAATCAGCGCTATGAACTCAAGGATGCAGTTCAAGCTCACCGTGATCTAGAAGCACGTAAAACCACAGGATCATCAATTTTTGTCATTTGAAGGGATATCTTATGCAAGTTGAACAATTAAGTTGCAATATCGGTGCAGAATTGTTGGGGGTCAATCTGGCAGATGCCATTGACGATGATGGGCTATTTACTGAAATTCGTCAGAATTTGTTAAAGCATCGGGTTTTATTTTTAAGAGATCAAAACCTAAGCCGAGCTGAACATGTAGCATTTGCTGAGCGCTTTGGACAACTAGAAAGTCATCCAGCTGTTGGAAGTCATCCAGAGCATCCTGGGCTGGTACAAATTTATAAAAGCCCAGAGAGCCCAATTGATCGTTATGAAAATGCTTGGCATAGCGATGCAAGCTGGCGCAAAGTTCCGCCAATGGGTTGTGTACTACGTTGTATTGAATGTCCGACAGTGGGTGGAGATACCATGTGGACCAATATGGTGATGGCCTATGAAAATCTACCCGTAGAAATCAAAACAAAAATTGCAAATTTACGCGCCTATCACAGTATTGAAGCCAGTTTTGGCGCAATGATGCCGATTGAAAAACGTTTGGCATTAAAAGAACAATTCCCCGATGCAGAACATCCTGTGGTACGTACGCATCCTGAAACGGGTGAGAAGATTCTTTATGTCAACGCCTTTACCACTCATTTTAGTAATTACCATACCAAAGAACACGTCCGTTTTGGACAAGATGCCAACCCCGGTGCAACCGATTTACTGCGTTATTTAATTACCCAAGCCTATATTCCTGAGTACCAAGTTCGTTGGAGTTGGAAGCCGAATAGTATCGCAATTTGGGACAACCGCAGTACACAACATTATGCCGTAATGGACTATCCACCATGTCATCGAAAAATGGAACGGGCAGGCATTATTGGTGATGCAACTTACTAAGCTGAGCAGTTAACGATTTAATCCAAACCCTAATTTTAAAATACATATGGAGATGTTTATGCAATTCTTTGATGACTCATTGCACCCTGAAAACATGGACAAAGTGGTGATTACGGTAGCGCCTTATGGGCCTGAATGGATGCCTGAGGATTTTCCTGAAGATATTCCTGTAACCATGCAAGAACAAATTCAAAAAGCGGTAGAGTGCTATGAAGCAGGTGCTTCAGTCCTCCATTTGCATGTCCGAGAGCTGGATGGGAAAGGCTCGAAACGTCTGTCTAAGTTTAATGAACTCATTGCCGGTGTGCGCGAAGCGGTGCCTGATATGATCATTCAAGTGGGTGGATCAATTTCTTTTGCCCCAGAAAGTGAAGGTGAAGCTGCAATTTGGTTAAGCGATGATACGCGGCATATGTTGGCCGAATTAATGCCAAAACCAGACCAAGTAACCGTAGCGATCAATACCACTCAAATGAATATTATGGAGTTGCTCTATCCTGAATATTTAGAAGGCACTTCTTTGGCACATCCAGCAATTCAGGCAGCTTATGCAGAAATGACAGTACCTGCAGGTCCAGCTTGGGTTGCAGAGCATTTAAAGCGTTTAACTGAAAATGGCATTCAACCGCATTTCCAATTAACTGGGATGCATGGTTTAGAAACGCTGGAACGTATGGTGCGTAAAGGGCTGTATAAAGGTCCGTTGAATCTAACCTGGATTGGAATTGGTGGTGGTTTTGATGGGCCAAATCCTTTTAACTTCTTTAACTTTATTCATCGCGTACCTGATGGTTGTACTTTAACTTCAGAGTCTTTACTTAAAAATGTTTTGCCGTTTAACACCATGTCAATGGCGATGGGCTTACATGCACGCGTCGGAAATGAAGACACCATTATTGATCATCAAGGTCAGCGTTTTTCTTCAGTACAGCAGATTCAACAGACCGTGCGTATTGCCCATGAATTAGGTCGTGAAGTTGCATCAGGTAAAGAAGCACGTGAAATTTATCGTATTGGCGTGCAATACGACACGATTGAAGAAACTTTGTTGGAAAATGGTATGGCGCCCAATCGTAAAGCAGGTCAAAAGGGTGTTCCACAGCGTAAATAATGATTTGAGCCAAAAGGATTTTTGATTCAAACAGTGAGAAAAAGATGATTACGTTACTGTGAAGTCGCGTAGTCATCAAAAATGAATGAGAAATTATAAAAACACAAGGAGAACGTATGGATGCGCATCAATATTCAAGTCCTGCGGACGGTGTAGATACTTCGGTTGGCATTCCACGTAAATATGCATGGTTGGTTTTTGCACTGACATTTGGTTTGTTGATTTCTGACTATATGTCACGGCAAGTCTTAAATGCAGTATTCCCACTGATCAAAAGTGAATGGGCTTTGACAGACAGCCAACTTGGATTATTAAGTGGAATTGTGGCCTTGATGGTGGGTTTATTAACCTTACCTTTGTCGATCTTGGCAGATCGTTTTGGCAAAGTAAAAAGCTTAACTTTGATGGCCGTGTTATGGAGTATGGCAACCTTAGGCTGTGCAATTGCTGAAAGTTATCAACATATGTTTATTGCCCGATTTATGGTGGGTGTTGGCGAAGCTGCCTATGGCAGTGTCGGGATTGCTGTTGTTGTATCGGTTTTTCCTCGTGATATGCGTGCAACTTTAGCAAGTGCTTTTATGGCAGGTGGTGTGTTTGGCTCATTCTTAGGCATGGCTTTAGGCGGTGTAATGGCTGAACATTTTGGCTGGCGTTGGGCATTTGGTGGAATGGCAGTCTTTGGGCTGATTCTGGCATTTTTATATCCTATTGTGGTTAAAGAAAACAAGATAGGAACCGTTCAAGGCAAAATTAAGACCCAACAGAAACAGGAGAAGTCGAGAAGTCCTTTACGATCAATTTATTCAAGTCGGTCTGTGATCGCCACTTATATTGGCAGTGGCTTGCAATTGTTTGTGGGTGGCACGGTCATCGTTTGGCTTCCCAGTTATCTCAATCGATATTACGGATTGGGGACAGATAAAGCGGGGCTGGTCGCGGCAATGGTTGTACTCAGTAGTGCAGTTGGCACGATTTTATGTGGGATGTTATGTGATCGTTTAGGACGAGATCGACCAGACCGAAAAGTCAGTTTAGCGATTGCATTTTGTTTGATCGGTTGTGTGTTGTTATCCATTGCTTTTGCCATGTCTGTCGGAAATGCTCAATTGATCATGATTTGTATTGGGATGTTTATCGCATTGGGTACCAATGGACCATCCAGCGCAATGGTTGCCAACCTAACACATCATTCTGTACATAGCACAGCATTTGCAACATTAACTTTGGCAAATAATTTTCTCGGCTTAGCTTTAGGGCCGTTAGTAATTGGAAAGCTATCTGACGTGATTGGTTTACACCATGCTTTTCAATTGATGCCTCTGATGAGCATTGTGGCTGCTGCCGTATTCTTCTATGCAAAACGCCATTATGCCCATGATATTAAAAAATTTAATGCACAAGCAGCACAACAAGGTCAAACAGTACAAGCACAGTCATGCAATATGGGTAATCAGTAATGACGCGTAAAATGAATATTGAAGTTTTTTTTGATTTTATCTGTCCTTGGTGTTTGATTGGAAAACGTCATTTACAGACTGCGATTCAAAAATTAAAACAAAGTGATCCAGATGTTGTGGTCAATATCCAGTGGCGTGGTGTACAGCTTTTACCCCATATTCCACTGGTGGGTGTTCCTTTTGATGCCTTTTATTTACAACGATTAGGCAGTTCAACAGCCGTTCGAATGCGTCAAACTCAAGTTCGTCAAGCCGCGAAAGCGGTCAATGTCGATATTGATTTTGATCGGATTCGTCGTATGCCAAACACAGCTATGGCACATCATTTTTTTGCAAATATTTCAAAAGTATATCATTCAGATCAAAGTGAGCGATTTTTAGATGCGCTATTCACAGCCTATTTTCATCATTCGGAAAATATAGGCGAGTTAGCAACATTGCAGAAAATAGCCATGTATTGCGGTTTTGCGGATGAGGTGGTTGAAGGTATTTTAGCAAAACCATTCGTTCCTTTTATCTCAGCAGATACAGGGGGTAAAGGGGTACCATATTTTGTTTTTGATGGAAGTTTTGCAATGGCAGGAGCGCAACCTGCAAGTGCACTTTATCAAGCAATGCTGGAAACGCTTCAAACACAAGGACAAATGGTATGAGCTTGCGTTTTCAAGTTCCTCAAGAAAAAATCCCAACTTTAGGCAATCGATCCTTTTTGATGATTGGTGACCGATCCCTGATTTTATTTAATATTGCTGAACAATTTTATGCGATTAATGACAGTTGTCCACATCAGGGTGCCTCATTACTCAGTGGGAAATTAGAAGGCAGGGTAATTCAATGTTGTGCACATGGTTTACGTTTTGACTTGGCAAATGGTTATTTACTCAATTCAACACAGCTACAAGTTCAATCATATCCAGTAGAAGTGATTGGCGAAAATGTTTTTATTGGTTTAGATTGTGGAGTAGCGCTAGATGAGTAAATTAGATTCTATGGCTTGGCAGCCACGGCTAAGTGCACTCATGCCTGGATTTATTGTCAGTACTGTGGTTGCCGCTGCGGCCTGTTTTTTATCTGAGCATTATGGTGCACCAGTGATGTTATTCGCTTTGTTGCTTGGGATGGGCGTGAACTTTCTTGCAACAGAAGGAAAGTGTAAAGCGGGTATCGAATTTACTGCGCGAGAAGTATTGCGTTTTGGGATCGCCTTACTCGGAATGCGAATTACCCTTGAGCAAATGACTGCGCTAGGTTGGCAGCCCATTGTTTTGGTCATTTCATTGGTCGTCATTACCATTCTTGCTTCAGTCATCGCAGCAAAAGTGCTCGGGTTTAATAAATTTTTCGGTATGCTGACTGGTGGCGCGACAGCGATCTGTGGAGCTTCCGCAGCATTGGCCTTGTCTGCAGCTTTACCCAGTCATCCACAAAAAGAAAAAGCAACCTTATTCACCGTCATTGGAGTATCTGCACTTTCAACTTTAGCAATGATTGTTTATCCCATGATTGCGCAATGGTTGGAATTGAAACCACAACATGCAGGGATTTTTTTAGGTGCAACCATCCATGATGTCGCCCAAGTGGTGGGGGCAGGTTATAGTATGTCTACAGAAACTGGCGATACTGCAACAGTGGTGAAATTGATGCGAGTTGCCATGCTTTTACCTGTCATCATCTGTGCAGCCATGATTACCCGTATGCAAGGCGTACCCTCTACGGGCAAAAGACCGCCATTATTGCCTTGGTTTGCAGTAGGATTTTTAATTCTTGCCTGTATAAATAGTACTGGATGGGTACCTACAGTTGTTCAAACAGGAATGAATGAATTATCTCGTTGGTGTCTGATTATTTCGATTAGTGCGCTAGGAATGAAAACACAATTAAAAGAGTTAGCAACGGTGGGTATTAAACCGATCCTGCTGATGATTGGAGAAAGCGTTTTTCTGGTATTGTTGGTACTCAGCCTGATGCATTGGTTATTTTAGTCGAGCTTTGATTTAACAAAAGTTTTGCAAGGTACAAGGTTAAAGTTGGTCTCCGCAAAACTTTTGTTTTAAGTGGCTTTTCGTATTATTGTTCTGATGTTAATACCAAGTTAGTCGTACCTTGATTGAATTTATAGCGCATTTTCATCAATGATCTCAGCCTTATTATGGGTACGCCAAGCATTCGGTGTTATACCAAATTGACCGATAAACCATCGTGTAAAAGAGCTTGGCATAGAGTAACCAAGAATATCTGAAACTTGAGCCAGTGAATAATTGATATTTCTTAAATAGCGAAATACCAAATTTCTGCGGACATCATTCATTAATTCACTAAAATTTGTATGTGCAGCTTCTAGACGCCGTTGCAGCGTTCTGACATTGACTTCATGGGTCTGCGCGACTTGATCAATTGTGGCACGTCCCATCGGTAAAAGCAGATAGATACTTTTACGGATATCAAAAATAAGTGATGATTCATTGTCTTTTTGTAAGATGTCAATATCGAGATAGCGCTGTGCATGGTTTGCCATTGCTGTATTTGCTTGAGGATTGATTTTATCAAGCTCTGATGATGAGCAGACAATACCATTAAACTCGCTACCAAATTCAAGTGAACTTCCAAAAACACGTTGATGCACTGTTAAGTCTTTTGGTGAATCGTGGGTAAAATGAATACTTAATGGGTGCCATTTTTGAGCTAATAATGCAGCACAAAAACGATGGGTAATCCCCAAAGCCAATTCAATCGCTTGACGACTATACTTTGCTGAAGCAGAAATCACTTCTACCCGAATAATCACGGTTTTTCCAACTTCTTCTATATATATTTCAAGCGCGTTATTGATGATATTTCGGTATCTTACAATTGTTTTTAAGGCATCACGTAACGTCTGTTGATAGCTTAATAATAGGCTTAGCTCACCAAAATCAGCAATTTGACGTTGTTCGGCCATATGTAGACCAAACACTTCACAACCACTGATTTGAGCAGATTGCTCTAATAGTGTCATGACTTTGTCGACGGAAATACGTTGTTTTGAATCATTTAATTGAGCAGAATAAATTCCAGCATCAGATAATAAATGGTATGGATTAAGGTCTAATTGTCGGCTTACATCCAGATAATTCTTGAGTACCGCTGTATGTGCAAGAGGAACCAATTTACACTCTCCTTGTCTTTTCATTAACCGTCCTGGTCAATACACCACTGTTTGAAGACTGTACCAATACGCATTTATAAAAAGTTTTTGCGTATGTGTAATCTCAATAATTTTATCAAAATTTTTTAAAAAGCATCTCAATTCATTACACATTGAGATGATTGAAATAGAGTATCAAATTTGTTTAACAAAGAGGAGTGTTTTAAAAGGACTGCACTTTATTGAGTAAAGAACAGCCTTTTAAAACGTATTAATGTGCGACACAACTTAGGGATATTGCTTACACATTAATTCTTTTAGATGGGGCATTGCGACTCATATCGGATTGTAGATATTTAGTACACAATATTTTTAAAATTAAATGATCGGTAGATATAGGGCTACGATCAATCCATTTAATTAAAAACGATAGCCTACCCCAAGATATGTGACCAAAGGATCTAAATCAATTTTTGTCGTGGACTTGATCAATTGGGTACCTGTCGATGTATCTGTGACAGTCACAGTTGCTACATTATTAAAGTTTGGCATATAACTTAAAGATCCAGTGGTAAACCAACGATCGGTTAAATCAAAGGTAAATCCTGCTGTGAGTACTGGTGCAAAGGCATCACTGGTTTTAACTTTAACTTTTGGTGTCGCTGTTGAACTGCCTTGACCACCGTGCAATGCTTCACCCGCTCGATCATTGAGGATATTATCAATCATATAACCTGCTTGAATAAGGTCTTGTTCTACACCGCCATTGAGCTTTAACTTATTAAAATGACCATATACAACACCCGCGCCAACAAAAGGTCGGAACTTATCTTGTCCTGAAGCGCCAAAATGATATTTAACTGTTGCTGCAGGCGTCCATGCAGTTACTTCTGCAACTTTGCCATGTGCATCAAGATCGGTAATTAAGGTATCTTTTAGCAGTTTTAAACCATTTAAATAGGTCGGTGGTGTGCCTTTTCCGGGAGTATTGGCAGTGGAAAGTGCCGAAGCTCTAATTTCTCCTACGCCATCAATATCAATTTTTGGTGGGATACCACCGACTAATTCAAGTGATACATGATCATTTACAAAGTAGCTTAGAGTTAAACCCAATGTATCGGTATCCGCGACTTCCATTCCACCTTGAGCGGTATAATCAGAAATACCTGTGATATCCGATCTGGCTCCGGTGGTCAGACTTGCTGGAACTTTATAATTGGGGTCTGCTTTACCATTTTTGATAAAAGTATTTAATAAAAGCCCACCCATTCCCTTAATTTCAGATGCATTGGTTTCGTAGTTGGCAATATCACTTCCCCATAATGATGATCCAACGCCATAGCTGCCACCTTCTACAACACTGGTTGTTACATGTGTTGAATTGGCTTTGCCTTGAGGCATGACATGCATCCAGCCTGCACTGACAGCCCAGCGTTTAGAGGTTGTAGAATCCGCATAACATAAATGAGTTGTTAATAGACATGCCAATGGCACAGCTATTCTACAAATTTGATTCATTTTAATTTCCTTGTAGTTCACTTTTTTGGGGTTTCAGCGGATCCTTTCTGAAACACGGCCCCATTATTAAAGTTGGCATTGGTTAAAGCAATCTCACTCATTTCATTAATAATATTCAGATTTTTAATGAATAAATAAGTGAATTTTAAAATAAAACAATTAAATCAATCTCTTATAATTTTATAACCCCATGCTCGAATGCTTTATTGGAGCAGTCATTTGTCATCAAATGAAAAGCAGTTGTCATCAAATGTACATCACCAAGATCAACTAAACCGTATTGTGAATAAGCAATTTATAGAATTCATCTTCATTCATTTGGCGAAAACTTAAGGTAGATCAATGGAAAAAATCCAGACAAAGGCAACCGTTTTAATTATCCCAGGTTTACGTGACCATGTTGCTGAACATTGGCAAACCTTATTAGAGCAAAGGCTGGTCAAGGTACGATCCGTCCCCCCGTTGGAAACAGACAAGCTCAACTGCATAAAAAGAGTTAAAGCGATCCAAGCACAACTTGAAGAAATTGATGGTGCTGTGATTTTAGTTGCACATAGTGCAGGGGTATTAATGACCGTTCACTGGGCAGCTCTGTATCAACACAATATTCAAGGGGCTTTGTTGGTGACACCACCCGATTTATCGGCCAAATGGCCTGAAAACTATCCAAGTTCTGCAATGCTAAAACAGCAAGGATGGGATCCTTTACCTAACAAGATTTTGCCTTTTCCGAGCATTGTTGTTGCAAGTACCAACGATCATTTAGCCAGTTACCAGGCCGTTAGGACTATGGCAAAAACATGGGGCAGTCAATTGGTGAGTTTAGGTGAAGTGGGGCATCTTAATCCTGCTGCTGGATATGGGTATTGGGCACAAGCTGAACAATTTATTCAACAATTAGACCAAGTGGATGATTCGATATGTATCGCTTAGTGCTTAGACTTTATATAGCGGAATTTATTGAGAAGTGACTTGGTTCAATTTACACGCCGTTTTAAGACAGCATTGCTCATTGGTTAGCAGTATAGGTAACAGATTAAACAATTAAAAAATCATGCATATTTCAAAATAGTCAATATGGCTATTTATGGAGTTAAATCGAATTAAATCATATCGATATGGAGATCGAATGATGCAAAATGTGATATGTGGCAATAACCCGAAACGCACGATTATTTTCACTCAAAAGCTGGGTGTCTGTTTAGTGCTGTGCTTAAGTATTTCAAAAGTGTCTGCAAAAAGTGTTGAGATCAATGAGGATTGGAAATTTGAAACCAGTACGATGCTCAGCCTAGGTGCGAATTGGAGTACTCAAGATGCTTCAAATCAGTTGGTGTATAAACCGGATGCAAATCATATCGGAAAGGACGGTTTAAGCGTTGACGTGAATGGTGACGATGGGCATGTGAACTTTAGTCAAAACGATAACATTTCCCAAATTATAAAAGGGTTGACTGAGTTTCGTTTAAAAGGACAACAACAGGGTGCAGTAATCAGCACTAAATATTGGTATGACCATGCTTATGAAACTGGTCGTGGAGATTTAAAAGCCTTTGATGATTCTGCGTGGCCTAGATTAGCCAAATTTAAGGGCATTGATCTTTGGGATGCCTATATCTGGAAAAATTTTGCTTTAGAAAATGGTCAAAATGCCAATCTAAAATTAGGCAAACATACCTTAAATTGGGGGAAATCGCAGTTTTTCCAAAATGGTATAAATTCAGTCAGTGCCTTGGATTATGTTGCAATCAATCGGCCTGGAGGAGAGGCAAAAGAGCGAATAATTCCTGTCGAAATGTTTTCATTTGAGGCTGGAATAACGCCAAATCTTAAACTGGACGGTTTTTATCAGTTTAAGTTTAGACCTTCTGTTGTGGATGGCTGTGGGACGTTTTTTGCAATTTCGGACTTTGTTCCAGAAAATTGTGGACCCATTATTTTGACCGTTACACCAGGGGATAAGTTGTCTGAAAGTGCTTTAGATGCACAGACTTATATTCCACGAGCAGAAAGTCGATATGCCAAGAATAGTGGGCAATATGGTTTTGTTTTAAAGCAAACTTTACCTCGTTGGAATAATGCTGAACTTGGCGCATATTTTGCGAACTATCACAGTCGCAATGCTAATTTTGATGGTACAGCGATAACTGCATCTGGGCCTGCATATTTTAATACA